CAAAAGCTGTTGAACATTACCAAGCTAGCATAACTTTATACGATTCCTTGAGAGGACTTCTAAAATCTAAAGATGAATGGAAAGTCAATTTTCGAAATCAGTATCAAGATGTGTATACAGGTTTGATTAGAGTTCTCGTAGAACAAGGTAATATCGTTGAAGCCTTATTTGCTGCTGAGAAAGGACGAGCTCAAGCTCTCAACGACCTCATGGAATCCAGTTTTTGTGGTGAAACAAGTCAGCACAGGAGAGGCGATGAAATTTTAGCAGTGTTAAAGAACGTTCCATCAGACACTGTCTTTCAGGCAGTGGACGGAGCTAGCGTCAATCTTTGGGTTGTGTCCGAAGAAAAACAAGTTCAGTTAAGACAAAGTAAACTCAAAGGTTTTGTTTCAGAGAATAGTGGAGCTAACCAGTCCTTTGAGTCGTTCATGCTCGGTGTCTATACGCAACTTGGTGTTGTTTCTGATGGGAGATGCGAGAATCGATCTTTGGATGCTTTGAGGGAGAGCTGTTCAAAAGTGGATGAGAAAACTAAAGAAGACAACCCTCAAGCTCCCATCGAACAAAACGAATGCTTGCGCACTTTGTATGATATCGTTATGAAGCCGGTGGCTGACCTGGTTCAAGGGGATGAGCTACTCATTATTCCCGATGGACCCCTGTGGCTCGTTCCTTACGCTGCACTCATGGATGGTAATTCTAAATATCTGTGTGAATCGTTCAGAATCCGACTCGCTCCTTCGTTAACAAGTCTTAGACTCTTTGCCGATTGCCCAGATGATTATCACAAAAGAAGTGGTGCGTTACTTGTAGGAGAGCCGTGGGTAGCCGAGGTTACTGATAGCGAGGGAGATGAATTCTTCGATCCGCTTCCGTGTGCTAAAGAAGAAGTAGAAATGATCGGAAAAATTCTGAATATCACGCCAATCACTGGCAAACAGGCCACGAAACGTGAGGTGTTGAAAAGACTCAGTTCCGTTTCCTTAGTTCACTTTGCGGCACACGGATGTATGGAAACTGGCGAAATTGCTCTTACTCCTGACCCAAAGCGAATATCTACTATGCCAAGAGAGGAGGATTACATTTTAACAATTAGAGATGTGTTAAATGTTCAACTACGTGCCAAACTTGTGGTGCTCAGTTGCTGCCACAGTGGTCAGGGCGAGATCAAGGCTGAAGGTGTGGTTGGCATTGCGCGCGCCTTTATGGGGGCTGGTGCTCGGTCTGTTGTGGTGTCCCTGTGGAAGATCGATGACGAGGCTACTCTCGAGTTCATGAAATACTTTTATCAACACCTTGCG